GCTAACGTCACTCGCTAGCCCCACCCTCTAACTTCCTGTTTGTCTGTCTGCTGCAGCTGCTGGACTGGAGTAAATCGGACGTTCAGGAGCGTCTGCTGACGTTCTACCGACTCTGCGACCGCATCGCCGAGCGTCTCAAAGGACTCTTCGTTCTGTTCGCAGGAAACCTGGTGAAGCCGCTGTCGGAGCTGCTGAGAAGAACCAACAGCTGCTGCTCAGGTCAGAACCTTTCAGAAAGGCCTCTTAATAGATGTAGCTATTTAATTATTTAACATTTTTTATATGTGAATCGGATTTTAAAATATTTGAGCTTACATTTTTAGAGGCGCTTATTTTATTTTGTATTATTTTATTTTTATTTTGTATAATTTCCTTTATTTTCTCTCAGCTTATTTATTTATTTGACACATTTTATTCTATTTTCTTCTCTATATTTGTCAACATTTTTTAACTGAATGTTTTTAGCTGCATGTTGTTTGTTGAACTTTCCTCAGTATTTGTTTTATTGAGTGAATCCAACTTGTTCTGTTTGTCTGGCTGTTGAGGAGCTTCACAGTTCAGCGTATTCAGTGGTTCATGTGGCGGCGCTCCGTCGGCGCTCGTTGTTCTTCTGACCGACGTCCTGAAGCTGTGACGGGTCGTCTGATGCTTCAGTCACATGTTCGCTCTGATCTTCGTCTCCTCAGACCAGCTGCAGGCTGCTTCTGATCTCGGTGAAGAAAAAACGTGTCTGCTGCTCCAGTTCGTCCTCGACTGCCTCCACAAGATCTTCCTGTACGACACGCAGCGCTTCCTGAGCCGAGAGCGAGCCGAGGCGCTGCTGAAGCCGCTGATCGACCAGGTGAGGCGCACCTGAAACGTCCACGTGTGTCTGCACCAATCAGAGAGCAGCTTTGGTTAATCACACAATCCGCTAAACGAGGAGGAGCCTCGTTTATTTAATGAGTTGATTTGAACTGTGATCACATTTAAAAGATGTTTTATTCTGTTTTAATAATTACATTTGAATTGAACTTTATTATTTATTTTGTGTGAAGCAGTGAGAGAAAATAAATCAATAAAAGGACAAAAGTGGAAATAAAATAAAAAATAAATAAAAAATGTGTTGATCTGAAGCAATATTAATAAAAAATGAATCCACAAAAGAAAAGGCTGATAAAAGTAGAAATATAAAGACAAATAAATAAAATAATAAAAATAATAATCATTGATTTTCTCTCCATCAGTTTCACTTTTATTTTATTTCACAGAGTTCAGTTTATTTGATCTTTATCTCGTATTCCTTCACTTTATTTTATTTACTTTATTTAACTTTTGCCTTCATATTACTTTGTCTGGAATAATTTTATTTATTCTTATTACTTTTATTTTATTTAGTTTTGCGTAATTCTTTTACTTTATTCTGTGAAGCTTGATTCATTTTCAGTTTTGCTTCCACATCATTATTTTATCTGGTATATACATGTAGTTATTTACCTGTTAGCAGCATGGAGCTGCTGTGATTGGAGCTCCAGGGTCATGTGACCTGCAGGGGGCGCAGATGAGTCAGCAATGACGTGGCTCAGTTGGGGGCGGAGCCTCCAGGTGGCTCTCTTGTCTGATTGGTCCCTGTGTGTGTGTGAGCAGCTGGAGAACCGTGTGGGGGGGCAGCAGGCGGCCCAGCAGAGGGTCACCCAGCACCTGGTGCCCTGCGTGGGCCAGCTGGCGGCGGCGCTGGCCGACGACGCCCAGTGGAAGACGCTCAACTACCAGGTCCTGCTCAAGACCCGGCACCCGGACGCCGAGGTGA